ATATATATATATATATATATATATATATATATATAATTTAGTCCTAGATTTTATATTGGTTTCTCTATTTGATTTAGAATTTTAGTTTTAATTCTTATTCCTTGTAAAGGTTGATTATTGACTTATTTAAAGAATTGTAAATCTCTTAAAGAATCATATTATATTAAAGTGAAATATTTAATAACAAAATACAAATTAGAATTCTAGTTGTTGAGACATTTTTAACATATCTATGTTTTGTTTGTACTTATTTTTTTATACCATGTTTTAACAAAATTCACATCCTAGTAAAAGTTTTTTATATCAATTAATATCTCGTGATTAATTTTTAGTTTAATTAAAATTATGGAGAAGGTGAAATTAGGCATTAAAATTTAATATATATTAAAAAAAACCATTTTAATTTAAAATCTAAGTTATTGCGTGATGTTATTAAATCACTTTTACTTCTAGATAGTTTTGCACACAACAACACAAGTATCCATGACAATATTACACATTCTTCGTACCATAAAAGATAAAACTACAAATATACATACGGGCATATAAAACGTAAAGGACAATTTGTTGGAAAACAAATGTAATAAAACATAAAAATATAAAACAACTATCAAGAAAATTGTATTTTTTTCAATATAATATAAAATCCTTTTAGTTTAAATATTTGAAATTAAAAAAATAATAATATCTTTCCAAAACCTTTTTAAATAATCTCTTAAAAATTATTATTACAATTTGTAATATGAAAATATATTTTCTATTTCAATTTGAGTCATTTTTCTTTTTATTATGGGATGATATGAAATGGGCACAATGTGAAGTTTTCATAGTGTATTCATTTTTGCAACATTACCTCTTTCTTGGGTTATTTTTTTTTTTTCAAAAGAATTAAATCTGTATTAAAAAAAAAGTTTTGATGACCCGGCCTCCTTCTCTATTAGACAGAAATTTAAGGTGTCAGAAAAATAGAAGTGTTCCAAGGAATTTTTATATGCTATGGGCTGTAAACACCCTGGTACTGCAACTGGTAATGAGCTTTTAACTCTGGATTCCAGAGGCCATTTTATCCCTTTGCTGTTTCTCGGCCGGGTACGTGCTTTTGCATGAACACTAACTATTTTGTACATCCTTTTTTAACATATAATTAGATCTAGCATGACAAAAACTGCAAGCATAAGTACGCCCATATATTTCATCCAAAAAGGAACGTACGTACATGTGGATGATATACACCCCAGTTTATTTAAATTAGGAGGCCATTTATAACATATAATTTATTTTAGTACAATATTAGGGCATCCTTTTTTATCATACCACTCATAGGACTCACGATCGATGAGATTCACCTTCTCATCACTCACAGGCAAGTCGTGGCGTAGGAATTGAATTAATGAACTTGGTGGCAGCAAGGAAGGCGTTGTAGGAGGCTAAATAGCTAATTCCCGACTCTGAATTTGTTTCACCAGCTACATTTGAAACACCTTGGAACACCACGAAGAGCTTTTCATTTGACAAAGATGTCTGCAAATTGGGACACAAACAAATTCGTTAACCAAACTAATCATGCGTAGCTTCCTAGCTAAGAGGCATCTCAGGAAGAAGAAGAAACACAAAATTTTGAGCTCATAGATGTTTTTTTACTAACCAAAGCTACGGAAGCACTTGCTGTATCGGCAGTTGTTGCACCAAAATTATCGTTAAGGAAGTCTCCGTAGGCTTTATTTCGAACGTAAAAATCAGAAGTAGAACCCTTCGATCCAAAGACAACTTTGGGTTTTCCGGGCAGGCATTTACCAGAATAGCATTGTCTTAACTTCAAATCCTGCAATTAATAATCAATTATTATTGTAGTTAATCCACTTGAAAATTCAAAGATATAAATATTCATGGTCTCAATAATATCATTATAGGCTTAGCGATAATTTTAATGGCAATGAAGTAGAAACATGAAGCTAATTCAGCCGTGATTATTCTGAGATTGACAAACCTTGAGCGCTTCAGTGGCAGCATTATACCAGGATGTGGTGATGGGAAGCCAGAAAACTTCCTTGGCTGCTTCATGTGGAGAGAACATGTTAATTTTCTGATACTCTACAGTCCCCAGCAAGTTCTCTCCATTCTCTGGATAATTGAAATCTCCAAATACCAGTTTACCTTCCTCCGATCGGAATTTCTGTACGATATAGAAGAATAAAGGCGAATGAATTACCATTATTTTAGGCTTTCAAATATGTTGCGTATAGATTGTCGGTTTTCACGTCATTGAAAGAAAAAAAAACAAAAAAAAAAGTTTTAAAACGAAAACAATAAATAATAGCAAAGGCCTTACGCACCTTCCAATCCCAAACTCCTGTGAAGGCAACAGCCTTCGGCACAGCAACATCAC